ATGAGTCTCGTTTTTGTTTGGAGAGTGACTACATTTTAGATTTAGGAAAATAAGCGCAATAAATGTGAAAACAATTCGTGAAAGACATCAACTCAAATGTTGGGGAATCTTGGTATGGGTAGTTATTTTGAATGGCCACACTGACCTACATATTTTAACCAATGCAACTATGAATGCCTAAATATATAATACAATACTGACACCTACGTTAAGTTATTTAGAGGCGCAAGAAGTGATAACTTCCTTCTAATGGACGATAATGCTCGTCGCAATGGCGCTGCACTAATGGTAGTAAAAACAAAACTATGAATTTCGTCTCTCATTAACACCCTCTACAAAAAATATTGCTTAAACCGTTTTTAGAGATCAATTAAAATCGTTAATATTAAACAGTATTTTTCTGCAATTTGTATTGACTTGAGTATTAAAATTATCATTTGCAGAACGTCAAATACTTTGTAGAGACATTAGGTTATTTCGAAGCAAAAGAGATGAAAAATGAGCAATGTTCTCACCGGAACCCGAACCACGGACCTCTCGAATACGCCGAGCGTGCCGACCAGTATACTACGAAGACATGCTAAGAAGGCGGGAGAAATACTTTATATGCTCTCCCTTTTAAAGGGCGACTGGGGATTAGGGGACCCAATCGCCAAATCCTGGAGGTAAAGAATCATCGTCCACCACCCTTTTACTTTGGGTGCCATTGTAGAGACATCAGTTTTTTTTTTTTTGAAGCAGGAGAGATGACAAATGAGCAATACCCTCGCCGGGGCTTGAACCACGGACCTCTCGCATTCGCATCGAGCGTGATGACTACTGCACTACAAAGGCATGCTAAAAAGCGGGAGAAATACCTTATAACTTTGCCAACTAAGATTTACTTCTCATTATATCTTGACTTAAACCTTTTTGTTTTTGTTAAGAATTTATATTATTGTACAAATATTTGAGGTAATTTATTAGCCTAAGTAAATGACTGAGGAATTTTTTAATATTAAAAATATAAAACCAATAAAAACGTTCTGGAATTTTGAGTAAACGAGATTCTTGATTCCTTTGAAAAAAAAAATTATCACGTGACGTGATTTTTGTATTTAAAACTTTCCTATCGTCTTCATTTCCTTTTACCTGCCGAATGTAAATTTCTAGCTTGCCCGACATTCAGATAAAGTAGAAAAAGGCTAGTACTTAAAGAAAAGTTTTAGAGGTAAAATCGAAGCGTGTTCTGCCTGCTGAAGCTGACGCTGCTAATTTGATGTTCTTTTGAGTACAGTATTTTGCAGAGTTGCGTTCTGAACACCATTAGGTTTGTCAGCCCGATCTTAAGGTCACAGCCAGCTTGCGCGTTATTTTAACTGTGTAACCGTTAGGCTAGTTTCTTAGTTCTTCTAGATTCTTAGTGTTACTTAGTTAATTCAATTCATTACCTTAAATTTAAGCGATAACTGTTGGCTGTATTTGTAAGCATTAGTGGTGCTTTCGGTTAACAGTTATTTTAATTAAATAAATGATCTTAATATTTACTCATGTAAATCAAGTCAAAACACAAATTTTAGCTTACTGCGAAGTGTAACCAATTGGATACATGCTGTTTACGTATATAATTTTGAAAGTTTCAGTGTGGTGGCACCACTAACGGTGTAACGGTCATTATAGTGAGTTGATGTATAGTTTGCAGACATCATTTGTGTTTACGAATTTTTGATGTTGTGCTTCTCGTTATTTTGATATATTCAAAATTTTGAAATTATTTGAACAAGTTTATAAGGTATGTATTATTATACAGAATTGTTATTGCACATTTACCTGTCATATTGTTTTCTAAAAGTTAATAATATTGCTTCAAAAATTGGAATAAAAACTTAAATTAGAATTTTTTAAAGTATTTTTCCTGTTTTATTTGATATCAATTCTAATGTAGTTTTTACTTTAAAAATAAAAATTCATGCATTTAAGGGTTAAAACGTGTCACACATTTTATGTTTTTAAAGAATATAAAACGTTATAATGTTATCAACAACAGCAGCTAGTAAAGCATACTTCTCCTTGGAAATGAATCAACTAAACATTTTTAAACATTATATAAGTTCCAGAATACATCTAAAATCCTTTTATTTTTATAAATAAGGTTAATTTACCACTAGCATAACACATTTTACTTTAAAGAATTGTAACTTAATATTGCTTCTAATTCTTAGAAACGGATGAATAGGAATTTTTATTTACTAAACATTAGAAAATTGATTAAAGTAAAACTTAGGTTTCATTAATTAATGTTTTTAAGGCTGTGTTTAATTGCTGTTAACTGTCTTGTAACTAATTTCTTTTTCATATATTATCCAAACCAAGCTGCTTTGTTACAAACGTAAAAATGAAAATACTTAGCAGTTATTGAATAGTTCGTAGACACTATCTCCAACGTATAATTTCACAGCAAAATTGAGATAGATGGTTTTCATCAAAATATCTATCCATTCTTATTCATGCATATTAGACATGAATAAAAAATTACTGACGCTAAACTACTACACAAAAAATGAGAAGGATGAAGCAATTAATAAAACATTCAAGACGAAGTTTTCAATTTCTCTTCTATTTGACGTTTCGTGCTTGAGTCACTTAACCTTACAATTGCTGGGGCAGTGCCAGCCAAACTGTCTCTTGTTGGCACAAGTTACTTTAAACGAACTGACACAGCGAAAAGAAGCTAAGGTGTTCTAGAATTCTGAAATACTTGCACAGCTTTCAAAGAAGAGATAGCGGGTGGGTTAACAGCTACAGCAAATCAAGATTTTTTACAGCTGCGCATTTCAGGTTTCAACCACATTTTCCAAAAATACTTTTTATATGAAATGCTATTAAATGAAATTTAAAAACTTTGCTGTGGTTATAAATGCTTGTGGGTTGGACGTCTATCTTTGGATTTTAATCATTGCCAAAGTAGGGACTTTCCTTTTGTTAAATGCTAAATCTTCAGTAAGTTTTTTGTTTTTAATTTTTTCCTGAAGGAGCAGCTTTGTATTTTAAGACATTAACGCTTTCGGATTTGGTTTTTGAAGCATGAACTTAAAGAAGAACATTTTCCTGCTCATTTTTCAAACTGTGGCAATATTGAAATAACTTGAAATTAATGGAGAAAAATCTGTAAGCATAAAAGAAATATAACAGTTTTTTCCCTCAAAATGTTGAATTTTCAAAACTGCCATTTATAATTTATAGATGAAGTTTTAGACAAATTCCTGCTATGACAGTTGCTGTTAATATTTATGACCTAATAATAAAGAAACAAATGTTTATGATAGAAATCAGTTTTATTGTTTTTCAAAATATTCTCTTTGCAGATCAATTCACTTTTGCCTGCGTTTGAACCAACTTTCGAAGCACCTCTTCCACTACGATTGAGGTAACTCAAAACATAAGTTTTGAATTAATCAACTGCTTCTTCGGGTGTCGTTAATCGCTGCCCACGTAATTTATGCCATAATGAAGAATGATTCCCCTCTTCTGGTTTTCCGAATTTCTGCGATGACGTCTGGCAAACAAATGGTCGTGTACCGTTCGGAATTAACCGCCTTGCGTTGCTCTAATGTGGCTTCCCATAACCGGTAATGCCGAAGAAACAGGCAAAACCGGTAATGCCGAAGAAACAGGCAACCATTTGCTTCGATGTGTTTCTTCCGTGAACAACTTTTATAGGATTTGCCTCGTCTTGGAAGACCATACAGTCGACTGCTGTTTTGTTTCGGGCTCATACGCATAGATCCATGATTCGTCATTTGTGCAGATATTAAAAACAGCTTTTAATGGATCTTGAACATATGCTTCCAAAATTTCCTTGCACCAATCGACACAAGCCTTCGTTGAGCGTTTGTCAGATTATGCGGCATCCAATGCGAACAAATCGTTTTTATGGCCAAATGATCTTATTGGTGCTTGTCGTACTAATGCCCAAAGACGCCACAGTCTTACGGTATGTCACATGAATATCTTGCGTTAGCAGTTCACACAAAGCATCGATATTTTCTGGCACAGCAACCGATTTTGGAAGACCTTCACGGAATTCGCCCTGGAGCGAACATCGACCACGGTTGATTTCGTTATACCAGTTTTTTTACAGTGTTATAGAATGGTGCGTTATCGCTGTATAAAGAATTAAGCTCATCGAAGCCCTCTTGTCTCAATAATCTACGTCGAAAATTATGAAAAATAATCGCACGAAAATGATCACTAGTCAATTCCACTTTTGGCCCGGGATGAAATTTTCAATTTGCTGTAAATAACACAAATCACGCTAAAATGGCAAAATGTTCTGAAGAAGTTATGGTTAAAAATGTCAAACTTTCAATTGGAATCATCTGCGGTCGCCTGGCAACATTTACTGTTGCCAAGGCCAGAAATATAAATAGCAGCCTTCGCATAAAACTGAAGTCATTCTGGTCATTTCTTATAAATTTAAGGCCTATAACAAACATTAGAAGCTTTTTATTCCTGAAGAATTGATCGATTGTATAACGTAAAAATATGACTATTACTAGATTAAAGCAGAAATTTGATACTTTTAGGTATTTTGTCATGGGCATTTTATCGTTAGGGCGTTTGTCGTGAGCACTGTTAAGGAGAATGTTTTCATGGTATGCTTTATTTTTTATTAATGTTTTGATCATTAAAATCTACCATAATACAGCATGAACTTTACTTTTCATTCAATTATTCCTTTTAATTTAAACATTCTACGAAGATATCCAAAGTAGAATTGTTTTTATATTAAGTAATAAGTCATTCTCTTTTTCGCAGTCAATGTAATTTTTGATAGAAAAATTCTATGGGGTTGTTAAAAATACTCAGGTAGAAAAACTAAATTAAGAATAATTTAATAAAACTATTTTTCTTAAAAATTTCCTTTAAACTTTATTGGCAGTATTAATATTATTTAAAACGAGATTCATCTATAAGAGATGCTGAAGATGCATCTATTCAGGCAAGCATTTGATACTTACTTGACGAACATTGTAACTCCTGTTTGTTCCATAGCTCTCGCGATAGCTTTCCAAGATTTTGAGATGCTGAACTTCTGTCGTGCAGTTAGCGGTATTCGGGGGTCTTGAGCCGGAGGGGCACTTGGAGCATCTCCTGCATGATTCAGGTCTTGGACACTCCCTTTGCCATCTTTAGGTACCTTGGCGAAGGTGCAACCCATGATCGTCTTTTAGTGAACACTATACTTTCGATTTCATGGATTGTATCGTTTCAGTCATGGTCAGACGATGATGAACTAGTTTTTGTTTACCAGCTGTTGAAAAGAAAGAAACATAAAGTTATACAAAAACAAGCGTATGATATTAAAAAAGCAGAAAATATTTCCCAATTTTGTATTAAACAATAACAATCAGAGAATTTGAAAAATTTTCCAGACAGCAAAAAGTGGATAAAATTAGTTTCTGTATTATTTGTCAACATTTAGTCACAGGCGATATTTTTGTATTTGCCGTCTATAATATCATTATTAGAAATACACTTTTCATGCGTCAAATATTTATTACAGCCAAATTTACTGCTATACAAGCTACAGCCAAATATTACGTTTTTAAGTACACTGTAACACAGAGGCGAAAACTTTATTGGCACTACTGTATAGGTTTAGAAAGATAAAGTGAAAAATATCCCAACACGTTCTAATGCTTAACGAATATTACCGCAAATAGTTTATAAAATCCAGTCGAGATAATCAATCCAGCATTCGAGAATAAAGCAATAAAACACAATTATGAACCCGTTCTCCCGGGATTAAAACTGAATTTCTCTTTGCATCTAAGCTTTTGAAATAATATGGTAATGGTTTAAACGATTACGTATTTAACCTTAACCTTCAAAGTAATATCACTAATTTAAAATTGACATAAAGAATTATGCTTGCATCATTTTTTAAAATAAAAAATGCGAAAATTATTAAATTTTTTAACTATTAAATTATTCAATTTTTTGGCTGCATTTCATTTAAAATTATTTACTCGAATTTCATTAGGCAGAAATTTTTCATTTATTTAATCATTCATTTATTTAATTTTTCATTTCTTTCTCATTTCGCGGTAAGGCAAAAAAAAAAAAAAAAAAAAAAAAAAAATCTGAAATGTTTTCAGATTTTAAATTACGTCCAAAGGGGCGTTTTTTTTAACATTTTGTGTGTGTTACCTTTCTTTATTAAATATCATGTTCCTCGCACTTAAAACCATAAGATCCAGTGCAACAGCAATATCGCAAAATAGTTTTAAAACGAGCATATCTTTAGAATTTCCGATACAGAGACTCACGCGCTGGAGATAAAAATGTTTTTTTTTTTGCACAACGTTGCCATTGCTCGCTTTGAAATCCTTGAGTTTGTTAATCAAAAATTCGTCAAAGTTTTAAAAAATAGGAAATCGATTTAAAAACAAATTTCAAATTTGGTCTTCCACATGCTCATATTCGTTGGAGGATTACGTTATTCAAAATTCGATGACTCTATGTACCGTTGTTTTATCACAATACGAGAAATATACATACATTTATGCAGATTTTTCATTATTTAATTTCTTCAAATATAATGCAGGACTCTAACATTTTGTGGCAACAGTTTGAAAAGTGAACCGACATTTATGAGTCCGACGCAAAATGCCAAAACGAAACTAATAGTCCTTCGGGATTCAAATCCCTTTGGACTAAAAAAAAAAAGTACATAAGAATTCAAAACATCTTCATCAAAAATTGTAAAACATAGAAAAACATAAAATACCAGATACAGTTAAAAACCCAATTTTTAAAATTTAAATTAGAATTTCTACTCAAAAAAAGCAAATTGGTCAACAGGCGAGAAGGCAGATATTTCGGTGCACAAAACTGAAAGTTTACTTTTGGTCCCACTATTGCATGCAGATTAATTACAGGCATAAAAATTTTAACCGGAAGATAACAACATAATTAAATCACTTTTAAAGGAAAAAATGCATAATTTACCAACATATAAGAATTAAAAAAAAAAAAAAAAAAAAAAAAAAAAAAAAAAAAAAACTGAGCTCACCGAGCTGAGAAATAGAGTGGCTATATATACTTCTGGTGAAGTTTATTGCAATCGAACAGAGAGGTGCACAACTAGATATGATAGCAGTCCTATATACAAAATTTCAACGTTCTGAGGCTACTCGGTTTTGAGTTATGCAAGATATATACATAGGTACGTACGTAGGTACAAATGGCACGAAAAAAAATCCCCTGTGAATCCATTTTAATTCAATTTTATAATCCGTTTGGGAAAAAGAGTCCTTCTTTCTGTCCTCACGTTCAGATGTCACGCAAATACATTGTTGAATTTCATTCGACAGCGATCAAAATGAATATTTGCGTTGAAATAAGATACCCGGAATTTTTCGTAATTTCAATACAATACTTCCTTTACTTCGAACAAGCAAGTAATAAATAATATAGTTATTGCTCAAGTTCAATCCAATATGAACTAATTAATGTCTTTAAACAGCTTTTGAAAGTCCATATACACAGATAAAAGTATCTAAATGCTGAATATAGACCTTAATTTCAAATTTACTTCGGTCTCTAAACCTAAGTATGATAAATATTGCTTAACGGTAAAATCCGAAGTATTCAGCAACTATGATAAGGCTAAAATATTCTATGAATAATATAAAAAGACATGAACCGATATGTTAAAAATCTGATGTGTACACCACATGACTTCCTTGTACGGAATATTAAATTATACGCATTTTTTCTTGCATTTCATTTAAACTTATTGGATTGAATTAAATCTACTTCGACAGCGCATAAACCACAATAGAATAAATGCATTCCTTAAAATTCACTCTATTTGTTTACCATAGCGACACTCTGGCGCTAGGTTCACTTAACAGTATTATATTTCGTTCATATTATAACTCAGAATGCACAAAATTTATATCATTTAAAGAATTATCTAATCGTTGCCACATGTTTTATTCAAATACTATAATAAAGCTAGAATGATATAAAAAAGAAATTAAGCAAACAAAACAAAAAAGAAACAGTTTTTCACAGACGATTGAGTACTTCTCATTCAATTAATTCAGTTCTCACTTCGCGACAAGGCAAAAATACATAAGAACTCAAAATATCTATATTAAAAATTACGAAGTAAATCTTAAATACTTATTTCCTCGAAGAAATTCCAGAAAGGATTAAGCATGATTTAATTGGAAATAATAAATAAAGTCGTTATCTTTGTTGTTGCGAAGCTACGTTTCTCTAGATTGGCAACAAATCCACTAGTCTGCTGTTTCAAATGTAAACAATCAATGGCCGCCATAAAAAAATGGCTTAGTGGCACTTAAACAACTTTAAAATTGTTGATAATTGTAAAAATATTGCATACAGATTTACTAAGGACATAAAACCTTAACCGGAAGATAAAAACAACATAATTCAATCATTTTTAAAGCAAAAAATGTACAATTTACAAACATATAAGAGTAAAGAAACTGAGATGACTGAGCCGGGTAACAGAGTGGATATATATATAAATATATTTATATACGTTTGGTGCGGTCGATTGCAACCAAAATACGAGGTGCACATCTACATGTTATAGCAGTCCTATATACAAAATTTCAACGATCTGAGGCTACTCGTTTCGAGTTATGCGAGATACGTACGTATGTACGTACATTCGTTCGTACAGACGCCAAGAAAAATTCTCTTCAGATTTCATTTTAAAGCAGTTTTATAACTTTTTTGGAGGAAAAGGGTATTTTATTCTGTATTTACATATAGATATCACGCACATACATCGTTAAATTGCATTCGATAGCGGTCAAAATGGATATTTTCTTTGAAATATGCTGCCTGAAACTTTTCGCGATTACAATACTTCCTTTTTACTTCGTACAAGGAAGCAAAAACCTGCTCTTTATTCTAAAAATTCTAGCTTTACTTAGCAAATAAGTAAGTATTTGATTTCTCTAACGCTAAATAATAATTCCGAAGATTGAACAATCATGAAAACACACATTTTGCTTTAACCCATCCTAAAAAGTATCTTCTGTCAGAAATGCCGCTTACGAATATCTTGAGGTTTGCCGGTTTTATTGAAATTATAATCTATTTGTCAACGGCATAGCTTCGAAGGCTTGTCATAATTGCAAGAGTTTTCCTATTAAAGTATTCTATCGATCTTTCGAAAGACTCTTTTCTCTTTCTGACATACTCTAAGCGGGACAAAATCCACAAATTTAAAAGGCACGCTTTTGGAATTGGTCATAGAATAAAAGATGGGATAACCCTGCGGGAAAATTTCCTTTCGCATTCCGGATTGCTCCCCTTTGAGTTCGGAGAATGCGTGCGCAGTTGGGTGTGGACTCCGTTCATCCTCGAGAGGTAATCTGATCGACTCCTTGTCGAGAAAACTTCACAGGAACTCGATGAATCACGGCATTAAGAAGAGGAGCCATGATTCTTTTCAGATTTGTTTGCGGTAAGAAAATTCAATCTTACTGGTTTAAATCTAGGATTTTTTTTTATTCTTTTGATTAACTTTTTTGTGAAGATGGGAAGGACAAGGATGATTTCTTTCTCTACCTAAGAAGCAAAATGTACAGATGATTTTTGGAAATGAAATGAATATTAAAGTGTTCCCTTCATTCACAGTGATAAAATTTATTTTCAGTTTATGTTTTTTTTTGCATATTTCTGCACACTATAATAACATTTGCCGGCAAGCATTCAAGAACTATACAATATGAACTGTTATTATTTTGAATTTACAAAATTTCATTGAAATAAGTGTAAAAAATTTTTAAGAGCTCCTTCAAAAATTTCATTACGAATAATCCTTGTATACTGACCAGTATACAAGGATTATTCGTACTTGTGAAATGCGATTAAGACGAAATGAGGTTTCGGAAGTTATACTAATCTCCGCATAACACGGTACATAAAGCATACAAAAATCTAAATCTGACATAACACGATGTTTAACGTTATATTTTCTCAAAGCTAATTTCAAAGCTAATTTAAATGTGCAATGCCTTCATCGGGACTCGAACCTGGGCCTCTCGAATATGCGTCGAGTGAGCTACCGTTACACCACGAAGGCATGCTGGAAAGAAGGAGAAAATACCTTACAGAGTAGCACTTAAAATCTGTCGGGCAGTAAGTCTTTTCAAAAGATTAGGAGGGGAATGACGAAAGAAGGAACATTCTCTACATTTCTTAGAACGCTCTTGATCAAAACTGGAATGTTACTTAGATAGATCTACCTTCATGTGTTT